AATCAATTACTCTTGAAAAATTATTATAACCCACATGAACCCTTGATTTATTTATGATATTGTAATCTTTTGAGTAATGGAGAGAAAGATGAAGATGCAAGCATATAGAGAAAAGTAGTTATAGCAGTAAAGGATGGTAAATGATTAGAGCTACTTTGATTATGGCTACTTAAGAATGATAATGCTTGCTATTGATTGATCCTTGGATTAAGTATTATTGATATTCTTTGCTATTTTGATTTCATGATTAAATTGATTCTTTGATATATGAATGAAGTCAGATTGATCTTTTGAAAATTTTGATTTTTGATTAACTTACATTGATTTTGCTAAGGGACTAGCAAAGTTCAAGTGTGGGGGAAAATATGATCAAGCTCAAATTAAGCATATTTTATAGCTATTTTTCTATACTTTTTGCCACTTTTGTATACATTTTTACCTTATTTTCTAAGTATTTGTGTCTTTAGTCTTGGTGAGATGTGAAATTGAGAATATACTTATTTTCATTATTTTTGGAGCTATTTTGATGACTTTTTACACAGATATTAGCAAAGTGATTTTAAGTATAGATTTGGAGAAGCAAAGTTCGTGTTTGAAGATTTCTTGAAGATAATTTGAAGACTTGAAGATCATTGAATAATTATTTCAAGAAGCAAGAATTGAAGATTGGAGCTTAATTTGCAAAGGATTGAAGCCAAGCCTAGAAGAAGCCCAGAAGTTAAGGATTTTTGGATAATTTATATAGGATTATACTTAGCCCATATAAGTCAACAATTGGAGTTAAAATCCCAATTTGTGGGCTTAATATCCAAAGGAATATCCAAATCCCGCAATTTCCCGCAGATTTGCGATTTAATCCCGGTTTCAGCGCAGTCTCGATAGAAAGACCATAACTTTCTGCTCAGATGTCCGTTTTGAGCCCATGAGTAGCCGTTGGAAAGCTAACTCCAAGATCTACAACTTTTCTTTGAAGTCCAAAGCCCAGTTCTGCCGTTTTCAAGCCCGAATCGTTCGTTGAAGTTTCTGAAGAAATCCAGAAAATTCCAGAATCCTATTTTGACTTGGATTCTACTTTAGGAAGACTTTTAATCCAACTTGGAGACCAAGTCAGCCCTAAAACCGTCTAGAGTCCTTTCCTAAGTCTAATAGGAGTCCTTTGGTTATTTCTCCACTATAAATAGCCACCTTAGGTCTAGATTTTGGGTATGTAATTTTATTCTCATAAGTTATATTGTTTAGTTGAAGATTTGGAGGAAAAAGCCCTAGGAGCCGCCGCCCCCTTCTCTTCTTAGTCCATAGATAAGTTTTCTTCTTCTTATTTGTGGATACTTACTCAATTCATGAGTGAGTAATCCTTTTCTTTTCTCCAATGTAGAATTTAATTGATCTCTTGACTTATTCCATGGTGAGATTTTGTGCTTATATATGAGAATTTATTTGAGTATTTCTTGGATCTCTGTATGAATTCTATGTTGCTTGTTTTGATTGATTGGGTCGACACTATCATGATAGATTGAGTTAGCATTAGCTAGATTAAGTTGTGAATTAATCCTCCAGCTTAATTTTATGTAGCAATTGGATGTGAATTAATCCTCCATCCAAGATAGAAAAGAATCAATGGGCGAGAAATTTCTCATTGTGCTTGTTATTAAATTACTTGTTCTTCATGATTTGTTCCTAAGTGATCTTTAAGTCCTAAAAAAGTAATTGGTTGCTGAAAGAATAAAAGGGATAGATTGACTTTAATCGGTAATCTTATCTAATTAAGGTAATTTAGGATTTAAATCCGACAGGCTATTCAAAGTTCTCATGATTATTAGATATCAATGATCCATGTTATTCTTGTCAAGAGGGAGATTAATTCTATGTTGGAGGTTTCTATTTAATTGTTTTTCTCATAATATTCACTGTTTTTTTAATTAATTGTTTTCTTCAATTTTCTTGATTGCTTTCATAGTTAATTTTACTGTTTATTAGTTTTAATCTTAAACTCTTCTTCAAAATTCTCTTTATTATTTTGTTTTGACCTAAGAAAAAAGTAAGTGTCAATCTCTCTGTGGGTTCGACCCCTACTTGCCCTAGCTAGTTTAGTTAGTAATTATTGGGTTATTTATTTTTATGATTGCTGACGGCCGATCATCAGCATACAACTTTTCAACCCTAACTACATCTAACACACAACGCAAATGCTCAACATGATCCTCTAGAGTGCGAATGTACACAAGTATATCATCAAAGTAAACAACAACAAACTTACCAATAAAAGCTCTTAAAACATGGTTCATTAGCCTCATAAAAGTACTAGGTGCATTAGTCAATCCAAAAGGCATAACTAACCATTCATACAATCCAAGTTTAGTTTTAAAGGCAGTTTTCCATCCATCACCCTCTTTCATGTGAATTTGATGGTACCCACTTTTAAGATCAATCTTAGAAAATAAACTAGCACCATGCAATTCATCTAGCATATCATCTAATCTAGGTATAGGATGACAATACTTAACTATTATGTTGTTGATAGCTCGACAATCAACACACATCCTCCAAATTTCGTCCTTTTTAGGAGCAAGCAACACAGGAACAGCACATGGAGAAAGGCTTTCTCGCACATAGCCCTTTTCAAGCAATTCTCCAACTTGTTTCTCCAACTCCTTAGTCTCATCAGGGTTTGTCCTATAGGCTGGTCTATTAGGAATTTGTGCTATAGGAATGAAATCAATTTGATGTTCAATTCCTCTAATGGGTGGTAATCCACTAGGAATTTCCTCAAGAAACACATCTGCATAATCGCTCAAAAGAGACACAATATTGCTTGGAATATCTCCAACCAAGTTGTTAGTACTCATAAGTGTATTTTTTTAAAAAAAAAAGTAAGATCATACAAGAATTTTCATGTAAAGCTCTCAATCTCACTCTTAGTAGCTAACATACACTCTTTAACAACTTTCCTAGAAGTCTCTTTCTTTTCACTCAAAACAGTCCTATTTTCAATGCCTAAATCAACAATTTTAGGTTCTGCTTTACTCCTCTTTAACCCTAAATTCAGCATCCAATTTAGCAAAATCATCTCTTAATTTCAATTGATCTTTCAAAGCTTCTTAAGGTGATAAAGGAATTAAAGTTATAGGAATCTTACCGCAAACAAAAGAGTACCTACTTGTCTCCCCATCATGATGCACTTTGTTGTCGTATTGCCATGGCCTCCCAAGTAAAACATGACAAGCTTGCATAGGTAAGACACAAAACATCCTCTTTGTACCTACCCAAAGAAAGAGTAACTAAAACTTATTTGTTAACCCTAATTTCTTCTCTATCATTGAACCAACCTAAGCTATAGGGTTTAGGATGCTTAGAAGTAGGTAGTTGTAACTCCTTCACCAAATAAACACCAGCTATGTTTGCACAACTCCCTCCATCTATAATCACACTACTTGGTTTTCCATTCACATAGCACCTAGTGTGAAATAGATTCTCCCATTGATTATGAACATCACCTTTCACATAAGCACTCAAAGTTCTCCTAGCAACCAAACTCTTAAGTGGAGCTAACTCATCACCATCATCAATTGCAGCCTCATCATCGTTCCTTTCATAATCACCATCCCCACTAGAATCTAGGTTGAAATCACCTTCCTCTTTACTTAAAAGCTCACCATGCTCATTAAAATACATCACCTACTTATTAACACAATCCTTAGCATAGTGACCAAAACCTTGACACTTAAAGCACTTAATGTGAGATTTAGATGATGAACTAGAACCCTTACTTTCGGTTTTAAGACTCACATACTCCTTTTTCACACCTTCTTTCTCCTTGAATGGCACCCTCTCATCTTTCTTATAAGGAGTTTTCCATGAGCTACTTGATGATGAATAACTCTTCTTGGTCGAACTATTCCTTCTAACTTGACCCTCGGCCTTCAATGCGTTTTGCAACATCTCCTCTAAATCATAATGTTATTGCATCTCAAGTCTCAACAATATCATGAATCTCCCTATTCAAACCCGCAAGAAATTTAGCCATAGTAGCTTGTGCAGCTTCTTCAACTTCAGCCCTAGACATCAACAACATCATCTCTGCATAATACTCATCAATACTCTTAGACCCTTGCCTCAAGGCTTGCAATCTTTAGTATAGAGAATTAACGTAGTAACTTGGCACAAATCTTCTCCTCATAGCACTCTTCATATTAGCTCATGTATCTATTGGTCTCTCCCTATTTCTCCTTCTAGATTGTACCAATTGATTCCACCAATTTAAAGCATTCTCAACAAACTTAAGGATAGCAATTTGTACCTTCTTTGCTTCTGCAAAGGATGATATTCAAAGTACATATCCAACTTTGATTCCCAATCAAAGTAATCTTCAGGAGAACCTATTCCATTAAACTTAGAAATCGTGTATTTGATGTTGTCTTTAGACTCCTCTCTCTCAACAACCCTCCTAGGCCACAAGTTATCCAAGTAAGCTTCTCCACCAGCTTCTTGCAATCTCAATCGATCTAAAGGACCTCCCCTAGCAGCTACCCTAGGAACTCTAGGCTCCCTCATAACATCACCAACTAATACAACACCCAGTTGTCTCCTTGGTGGTGGTAATTGAACATGTTGATTTTGGGCTTCTCTTACTTGTTGAACCTCATTAGCTAAGGTCTCCATCCTTTGATCAATTCTTGTAGACATGTTGTCTAATCGTTGCACTAAGTTTTCCAACACATTGGCCAATTCGGCCGGATTTTCTCCATCCCTTCTATCTCACATTGTACCTGTAGTAAAAGGTTAGTGAAGATAAAGAAAATCCTCACAAACACACACACACACATGTTTACCACAACTTTCACTCGTGTATGCACTCAACTATGGTCTGGCCAACCTCTAATCACTCTTGGTAATCTCACACACTCCTTCTTTTTACCACTCTTTAGCTTCAATAGGTCTAATAAGAACAACTTGTAAGGATCAATTCGGTCTTTTTGTGACCTACTTGAGGAACAAACAATTAGTAGCAAATAACTAGATGTAAACTTGAAGTAGTGATCTTAAAAACCAAATCAAACTCAAAAATTTTCCCTGGGGTAGGCCGCGCCTGGGCCAGCTTTGGAGTCGCGCGGGCAAGCTCCGAAACAAGCTTGTAGAATCTCCTGGGGTAGGCCGCGCCTGGGCAAGCCCTAATCGCGACAAGCTTTAGAAAACCCCTAAATCCGAAACCCTAGTGATCCAAACTTGAAATTTCTTTAATTCGATGTAGATAGTGTTGTTCTCAAACTCAATTTTGCAACAACTCTGGAATCAATCAACACACAAATCGCAAATCCCCAATTTCAATTCCAAGAACCCTAATTTGAACCATTGAAACCCTAATTGAATTTTAATGAGCTCTAAGCTTTTGATTTTTCAATTCAATTATTTGATGTGTTGAATTCACTCTTAATTCCAGCAGCAGCCTCCAAGATCTACACAAACTTTCAATTGCAACAATTAAGCTTAAATTGCAATTCACAAACTCTAATCCCCAAATAACCTCAATTTCGATATTTTTTTGAATTTTCACTATTTTTCTATGAAAGATCAAGGTGTAAGAACACTAAATCTAAAATTTCAACCAAATCGCACCCACAATGAATCTAGAACAAAAATCAAAAAATCAAGAATAAGAGATCTTCCCTTGTGCTTTGCGATGTGAAGTAAGAACTTGACGAATGATGGATAGATGGATAGATGGATAGATATAACCGATTGAAGATGAAAAACCTATGCTTTGATTACCAATTGATAACAATCTAGTTGTTATATGATCAAATCTACCATCAAAATCTTCCAATAATCGATTTGAATCACCAAACTTCTAGTTCCTGTTAAATCTCGATAATCTTCAACAATGGATCCAACCTTCTTTCTTCGGCCTTAGACGATCAATTAGACCTGCAATTGACAATCTAAGATCACAAGAATCACAATCAAGCAATCACTGCCTAATTGTTTGCTAGGACTCTACAAGATTGAAGAAATCCTAAGTATGTTCAAACTAGAACAATGAAGCTAAACTCACAACAGAAAATAAAACTCAATTTGATTGATAAACTTAACTTAGTCTTACAAAGGATGATCGAAACCCTTATATAGTGTAGGGTTCGACCTAAAGGAAAATAAAAGTCTATGGGGCGGTTTTCATGATCTAATAAGGATAAGAAAACTAATCCAAGCCCAACTAGGAAAAATAAATAAAAACGGACTTAAACAAGGATTGGACTTAATTAAACAAGACCCAACCCTTATAATATCCAAACTGAATTATAAGCTAAACTAAGATAGAATAAAGACCACATATGGCCGAATTGAACTATGCAAGCCCAATTAGATTACGATAGCAAGCAAAGTGATGAGCTTGGTATCGATTGGTGCTTTCTTGCTCAAATCATCTCCAAAGGTCTTCAATTGATCTTCAAAGGACTTCATATCATCAAGATGAAATCAAATAAACCCCATGAGTGAATCCTTGAACGCCTTAGCTCTTGGTCTTGTCATAGGACCACTAGGCAAGCTCAATGGATCAAATGACATCTTCTTAGGTCTTGAAACAAGCCCATCGATATCTCCATTGTCTCCATGCATTTTCATGCCTCCATGCAGCCCATGCACATCCTCTCCAGGTTCTCCATGGTTATCTTCAAGTCCATGATCAACCTTGGGCGCATCACTTAGATTTTCATTTTAATTTTTTCTGAAGGACTAGCAAAAGTTGAAATGTGGGGGAAATATGATGTGACCTAATTTGTGTTATATTTTCTATGTGATTTGCCTTGTTTTGGTAGTCGTATGTGTCTATTTACCCTCATATTTATCATCTTTATTATTTCAGGACCATTTGGAGCTATTGTTTAAGAAGATGAAGATTTGGAGAAATTTTAGATCAATTTGGAGAAACTACTAATTTCGATCCATTTCAGTCTGGTAGGCCCATCAGGCCCATTTCGGCCCATGAAGCCCGGAAGGAAGCCCGAATCATTGGAGACCCAAATCTAATTTCTCTAGACTCAATTCGGATGTCTTAAAGCCCAATGAGTATTTCCAGGCCCAATCAGCAATTATGATGCAGTAAATAATTGATGATGGAGAAATTCCAAATCCTAGTCAACGAAGGATTCATAAAGGCAGTTTCAGTATAAAATTCATATCTTTTGATCTATAGCTCAAAAAAATACAAATGATATACCGTTGGAAAAAGGACTTCAAGCTCTACAACTTTTCTTTTGACCTCGAGAGCCAATTTTGTCGTTAAGATGGTCGATTTTGCCATTGAAGTATTCTGGACAGTTTTGACCTAAAAGCCAAGATGACTTAGGAAGGGTGTAAATTAACTTGGGAATGCCTTGGAAGGTTTTTCCAACATGGAGCACTCCTATTGGCTATGGTGGATCCTAATTAATGAGGATGATCTTCTTCAACCAATTAGAGCTCTTACTTGGAGACAAAGTTGATGTAATTCCTAGTTAGCTTAGAATTAGAATTTCTATTGTCTATCTTACCCTCTTGGTCGGCCTATCTACGGGCTGGTGTTAATTCTCTGAAGGGTAAGGTATGTCATAGGTTTGCCTATAAATAGGGAGGATTATTTTAGGATTTGTCATAACTCATCACAACTCAGAAATTGTAAAACCCTAAAAGGGGAAATTCTCTCTAGGAGAGCCGCCAACCCCTCGGTGTGTTCTGCCCTAGGAAGTTTGGTTTTGAATGTTTGATTTCGTGATGAACACTATGAGGATGGTTTCTCCAATCATGTGTGAGTAAATCCTCTTAATCTTTCCAATGTAAGTGACAATTGATCTCTTGACAAATTAATCTATGGTGAGGATTTTATGCATATCGGTTTTGCCATGTTGATTTCAGTTTGGATTGCTTTGTGTTCTTGCCGATTTAACTATGGTAATTCTAGGGTTTTAATGTTGTTTGATGGCTAATTTTGTGTTCTTGATAATTCAATTCATGTTTTCAATCTATCTCTATGATTCAATATTGGTAGACTTAGGCCTATCGACTTGCATGATTAACTTGACTATTGCTATGTTAGATTTAATGAAGGCCTAGTAATTAGATCTAATAATTAGTAGCATGATTAAGTATGTTTGGTGAATGCCTAGTAGCTAAGATATTTAATTGAGATTTGTTTTATCATTATGCTTTGGTGAATGCCTAGTAATCATAAGTATATGCTTGGTATATCTATTGATCTTCATGCTTTATCTTTTGCATAGTTTAAGAAGGTCTAGTATTAAACTAGTAATTGATAAAAGAATTAATTTGGGAAGACCTAGTACCAATTAATTTATACTTGATATAGATTAGAGTAAGGTGAATTTTAGTAATCTTATTCTAACCAAGGATTGAATTGGATTGTTTGTTTTGTTGGTGTTCCGATAATCCATGGTTTTATTTGTCAAGAGTGAGATTTAGCTTATATTGGAATGATATCTTGTTATCTTGATTTCTTATTTTTAATTGCTTTTAATTTACTTTTCTTTTGCTTAATTGATTTTGATCTGCTTAACCACTGCTTTCTTGAGTTTATTTGTCATTTTTTAAGAAGAATAAGTAAACAATCTCTCTGTGGAATCGACCGGTGCTTGCCCTAACTACTAGTTAGTTGGAGTTAGTTTAGTATTTATTTTATGACTCGTTGACGAACCCTAATCCAGAAAACAGGCGAATTCTATTGAATTCTATAGATTCAGAAGATAAACGATTCCCTAAAAAAAGAAGACAGACGAATTATTTTAGATTTTACGAATTAAAGATGAAAAATGATAATATTATTATTGATATTTAATTATAAGGGCCTATACAATATTTGTTTTACTTATTAATGAGATGTCAAGTTTTGGTGGCCTGACAGCGATAGAAGTTATACATTGTCAGTGCATCAAATATAAACTCTATATTGGCGCCAAAAATAAAACTCTATATATATATAATAAGGATAGGATTAATATTTGATGCACTGACAATGTATAGCTTCCATATAAAAATTAGACGTTGATTTAGATAATAAAAAGATCTCGATATAAAAAATAATAAAAAAAACTTTCAAAAAAAATTATTAAATAAATTATATTTTGAAAAGCTACAATAGGTTAAACAAGATACATGGCACTCACTATGTGAGTGTATATGAAAATAAAATAATTATAAGATAGTTTGTGGCAGTTTTTAAAATGGATAGTTTTTTTTAAATGATATAAATAAAATTTAAATATTATATTTATCCTTTAATATTGGGTAATTTTATTTAAGATGTGTAGTTTTTATTTTGTTTTGAATTTTTAAAAAACTGAGTTTGTCTCCGAGTCAACTCGTGAGACAAACTCAGAGCCTCACATTATAATTAGTACTAGTAACTGGGCATACGCGCATGCGTATGCAAATTCAAAAAATTAATCAATTAATATTATCTAAAAGAATGTTAAATTTCTTGTGTTCTTAATTCTTATCTTATCTTAGATATTATTCGTATTAGAAAGATTAACATATCAAATGGAAGAGTTTTTGTCAACCAATTACCTTAATGGAAAGCAACATATTGGATTTAATAAAGATGAGTAAAATAGTAGGAAAAGGAAAAGTTTATGCATTCATCATTAGTTAAAGGGGCGAGATCATTGAAAAAAAAAAGGAGCGAGATCAATTTG